GTTTGACCTTGTTTTCACAACTTGGTCATATTGGTAGGAAGACTTATAGGAACGCATCTTGTCCTGAGTCTTTTGAATGCATAATTATTTCCAAAGTCGGACAATGGACGTGGTACATTCCCAGACGTTTCGCCGGCATTGTAGTCAGCATCGTCAGTGAGTTCTATAATTCGTAACACCATATTAAAACTCGTCAAAGAGAAAAGGGAAGCCGATCCTTTGAACAAACGTGTGCTAAACAGTTATGGTATCTCCCATTCTGCCCTGGCCTATTCAAATTTCCTATATCCTCCAATCACGCATTCACTGTCACAATAGTTTAATTGCTTAATTAAATGTGGTACGATGTGCCCTTTTGAGCGTCCTTTATAAGAACCATCCGCACTCAACGCTGCCCTTCTCACCGCCCTTCATCTTTGTGCTAGAAAAGTTGATCAGAGTTTGTCATATTGTTAAACAGTCATCCTTGCCTAGGTCTTACAACAGTCTTTCTCTTGCCTCGTAAGATCCATCTGCCCTCTCCCTGGTTCAAATATTTCACTCGACCCCTGCAACCCCATCTGTGCCACCCGAGGCGTTATTGGCCCTACACTGAGTTGGGCGACTAATTCCAGGCTCAAGACTCTAAGTAAGTCTCATGGCCTGGCCTTTGCCACATGGACCACGCCTCTTATAAAAACTACTGAGAGCCCACTAGCTCCCATCGCCGCCGCGTCTATCCTGTTTCTATCTCTAATACCAAGTCTATGACTTCCCATGACCTAGTCTCTTGTGTGCCAACCCACAAATGTTGTGGTACTGCTTGGTTTGGCTAGGTTCAATATTGAACTACAACGTTTGTAGGTTGGCACACAAGAGACTAGTGCATAATAAATCATAGACCTGGTATCATAGATAGAAAGAGGATAGAAACAGTGGAAGCTAGAGCTGGTTAGCTAACAATAGTCGTGATTCAAGGATCACTTCTATGATCAAACACGACGTTTTTTAGCCAAATAGCTTTAGTCTTCACCTAGTCTTTCCTATTTCTATCTGTGATACCATGTCCATCACTACCTACGTCCTAGTCTCTTGTGTGCCAACCCACAATTGTTGTGGTTCTACTTGTTTTGATTAGGCTCACTGAAGACGTCTACACTTTGTTTCTGATTGTTCTTTTCTCATCCCTCTGCGATCTCCTTTTCTAAAATTAGGAATATCACCTTAATCTAGTCGCCTTCTTTTTGCTGATCATGCTGTTGCCTGGTATTCTCCGAGCTTGTTTAGGCAATAAGCAAAGTTTTCTTCTCTTCTATTATCGCCCTGATATTCAATTTCATTAGTAATGTCGAAATTTTTGGCTCAGTTCTGATTAGGGCAGGCAAATCCACTTCTGGTCGCCCTCCTGATTCCTGATCTGATTTTCATAAAATCCAAGTTGAAATCGCCCCTTTATAACCTCTACATTTTTTCCATAAATGATCTGGGATATCCGTTAATAAGGCAAATCCGTGTCAGTTTGTCCAACTCCTCGTCCCAGAACTCATTCTCCGTTAGTCATAAACTTCTGATGATTAAACTCCTCAATATTCCGATCTTCAGTCTGTAGTTATGATGAAACTGAAAATTAAGGATTATTCCCTTGATTCGTAGACCGATTTTTATTCCTGTTTCACCAATATACTTCTGCTCAT